ATCCTGATTGATATTCTTGCTTTAGTCAGTTCAAACAAACTACCAGACATGTTTTAAATTGTGTACATGGCCGCCATGTGTGAAGAAACACAATGTGACTGGATTTTGTTTTTTGGTAAACCCACAGATGTCAGTGCCAAAGAAGTATGTAGCTGATAAGGAGTGGCTTCGATCACAGGTAATAATACCTCGTGTGGATCCAGCCAGTAAACATAGCTCGGACAAAACACTTTCCTTGAGGTGCCACACCCTGACAGAACCAGTACACGTGGATTAGTGCCAGCTCTCGAGTTTAAAGCTTCACTGAGGATGGGTGAACTGAGGACGCCACTTTAACATGTAGCACACATGGATGCTGTAAAACCAGCAGCCAGAAGGGGGCAGTGCAGTCCACATATTACATTAGTCATTTAGCAGGTGCTTTTATCCAGAGACTTACAATTCAGATCCCATCACACCATAGGCACAGCTACATATCAGGTAACAGGGACTCGACACCTGGTTTAAGACACATAGGCAACAATATAGAACCGTACAAACCAGATTCATAATCACGATGAAAATCTCTTTAAGACTTTGACTGCATCTTGAGGATGAAGTAAAAACAAATGAATCAAGCGGACACTGGAAAGAGTTCATCTTCAATGAAATCTGCTGCAATCTCCCTCAGACGGCCGTTAATACTAGAAGTTCAGAGTACATTACCTCTCAAATGATATTTGTGTGAAGCTGAACATGAAATGTTTCGAATGCAGCATGTTGGGTGATTAAACTTAAATGGAGTGTGTAGGATTTATTTTTAGTTTATCAATGAATGACCTGAAACTAAAACATTTTGTTTCCCTTAGTTTAGAATTACATCAACCCCAGGGCTGTGTGGGCAACAATCTGATATGACAGATTATACAGGGTTCAATAGATGATACTGTAAGCAAGGACATGTTGCTTTTTAAAGCTAATTTTTGTAAAAATATGGCATGAACACACCACCATGAGCATCAAATCTGAGTAAAGACTACTTTTCTTACACAATTAGAACAGTGAGATCCGTCTTTGCCTTTATCACCGTGTATTATCAAAGCACTACTTTGTTTAATCTTAGCCACTGTCTGTCACCAATCTTTGCATGCAAACTATTAAAAATCTACTGTTTGAGAATTGACAGTATCACAAAACATAATATTGTAACACTCAAGTGTATCAATAATATCTTAAACTACTAAATAGCACCACTGTGATTTGCAGTGCGCCATGTTGCTATTTTGAATGTTTAATGATGATTTTCCCAAAAAGAAAGCACATCATCCACATAGAACAGGCTCACTGTGGAGCAGAGATTACCATCATGTACATGGGCAAGACAAACAGACCAGCAGTCTGGATTTTGTAGTTTAGCAAACGTTTTATTAAGTGACAGATTAGTCCTTCTTGGCGGCGGCCTTCCTCATGGCAGCCAGCACGTTGCTCAGCTCCTCCCTCTTTCTCTTGGCACGAATGTGAGTGCCGATCTGTGGAGGATGAACAGCAACGTTAGACTGACTCAACAATCCTCAAACACAAGACTCAGAGAAAAGCTCGACACCAGAACGAGTGTCAAATATTAATGAACTCTGCATTAGATGTATAAAGCTGTGTACCCGTTGCTCTATAATATATAAAGCTTGATCACTGAAAGTCCATTTTCCACCAGGCCATTAGTGATTGTAGGTGAGAAGAAATGGGAACATGCTGCTACAACCAGAACGCTAACTCACCCTCTTCTTGATGAACTTAAGGGCTCTCTTGTCCTTCGACACCTTCAGCAGCTCCATGGCTCGCCTCTCATACGGAGCGAAACCGCACACTTCGCGGATCATGTCCCGAACAAACTTGCTGTGTTTGGTCAGACGCTGCAGAGGAAAGACAGCATTTCAACATGGTCCACTTTATCTGAACTGGGATCTCTCCAGACTCCATTGATAACATATTATATCTTCAGTAGTGTATGTGCAGCATGGAAGTAACACTGAAAACATTCCTCATCAAACTTTCACATCAGCCCTGTGAGCTACAGCTTTAAAAAAGGACATGTAGCAGAAGTTGTTGATCTTGAAATGCGGAACTTTGTACCAATTTCATGAAAGAAGTTAACTGTCAGCTGCAGGATTGAGTATCCCTTGACTCATGCTGCGTTCACACTACCAGCGACAATCACGTTGAAAATCCTTTTGGATGGAGGCCGGTGACACGAACCAACAAACTGACGCCCGACAACTTGAGCTGATCCATTAGCCGGTTCCCAGTGCCATTTAATGACACGAGAGCACTTCAACAGAAACTGGTTACTTAATTTTGGCGATCCTGGATTAAGTTAATATCCCTGAAAAGCCAGCTGCCCCCAGTGTTTGAGGCTAGAAGTTAGTCCGAACCAGGACAAGGGCAGCACACCGCTAATTAAGCAGGTTCCCAAAAACGTCAATGTTTTTTAAATTAACTCGGTTACGTCACTGTCTCTTAACTTTTAGTTTCTTTTAACTTGTCTTGTTCTGTGTTTTCTGTCTGTAACTATGTGTTTCTTATGTTGCTGCCTGTCTTGGCCAGGTGTCCCTTGAAAAAGAGATTTTTAATCTCAATGGGACTCACCTGGTTAAATTAAAAAAAAAAATGAGTTAGCATCCTTTTACTGACTGTGGTCTCTGAAGCTCAGCTGTGAAACATTCAGTCTCTGACCCTAATCACATTTATCACCTTAAAGCTGAGGATTTCACACATCTGTATGAACAAACTGCAAAACACTTGTGAAACGTCATGGTGTCATCTGAAAACTATGCTTCATGAAGTAGGAAAGAAATACTGAACAAGATGTCCAGTAGTCACTATTGTCAACAGCAGACAGATACTCACCCCACGCCGGCGGCTGTGTTTGGGAGTAGTCACATTCTTGGTGACTGGATGACCTTTGTTAAGGCCAACAGCCATAGGGTAGCGAATAGCCATGTCTACAGGAGAAAGCACACAAGCATGAGGACAGACCCTAACAAGTGGTTTCCACTAGATGCTTTGGGACAGACACCTCGAATTGGCTCCAACAGCAGCATTTCACTGTACAAATCACAACTACTGTTCAACATTCACATTGGTCCACTGAAGTAAGGCATTATGATTCACAATTACTGGGTAACATTAAGAGTGCGGTAGCAATATAGTATCATTCGCGGGAGAACGTGTAGTGTTTATTTACATAAAAAGTAAACGTATTATAATTTGTCTCCGTACATACTGCGTCGTATCGCGACTGTAAGTCTCGTTAAATACGGAATAGTTGGCTGCTTGAGTGCGCTGAACGAACAGAAACATGGATGCTGGTTAGTCACTGACGGGGCAACACATTTACAGCTATTTCACTTGTTGTTGCGCTATAATACTGGGCTCAGACGTTAGGTGAAGTCATTAGTTCACCGTAGTTTCAATTTGTTCGGTAGAAACGGACGGATGGCGGAGATTAGCCGTGGCTTTTAGCTGATACTTTTCAACATTTAAATCTTACCTGCTGTCTACGATAGCGGGCAAACCGGAAGGACTGCTGGAGGAGAGAGGCGGGGTAATGAAAGGTTTGACCCGGAAGACACTTCTGCTTGTGCGCCAGTAGAGCAGTGCCCCTGCCGGCCGGAATCGGTACTGCTGTTTGATTTGTGGTCCAGGCTGGTGCAAGTACCAAAGAGGTTGTTTGAAACCTTTGGATTGGACTGTGGATGTAGAAAAAGAACAAATATAAATTATGGTGGGAGTCTGATGATATTTCTTTTAAATAATTCCATTTGAATTAAGAAACGTTTTTTTAAATATTGTTTAAACAATAAACAAACTAGAATATGAGGCCAAGAGTATACTGTTGTGCATTTATTTTTGCATTGTCCAATTGTAAAGAATTTGTGCTTTCATAACTAACAATATTGTTTTGGCTTGCTTTGGAGGAATGGTCTCCTGGAAAATAACACACAGAAAAACACTTTTTCTTATTTTTCTTGTCTTTATTATGTGTTCCAAACATACTAACTAAACTACATAGACACATTTTTTAACTGAACTGAATGAATTGAATAAGTAAAGTGATTATTACCTGTAGTCATTCTCAACTCATTCATGGATGTAGAATATTCCTTACAGTGTACAATTGCATGTAGGGTGTATATGTGGTTGTAGATTCTTAACAAGAATATGTGTGTGTGGATGTTTTTATTTTAATTTATTTTACAAATTGCACATCTACATGCCAGGGAGGGCAGCTGCAACTGTAGAAGAATATAGAAAGAAATAAAAACGTAAAAAATGAAAATAATAATAATATTAATCAAAAAGGGAATATCTGTGATCACGAGCAATGCATGTTGTTAGTTTTCAGGGCCTTTTTGTTAGAACGGCGTTTAATAGTTTTATGTACAGTTCAAAGTCTTTGTCTTACATCTACGTATATATAATTTGGCAATAATAAGGGTCACACATGCTTATGAGATGCTGGCTGGGTGAAAGGTCATCAACTTTCATCCATCCATCCATCCATTTTCCACCGCTTATCCGGGGTCGGGTCGCGGTGGCAGCAGGTCAAGCAGGCCGACCCAGACCTCCCTCTCACCGGCAACATGTTCCAGCTCATTCTGGGGGATCCCGAGGCGTTCCCAGGCCAGCTGGGAGATGTAATCTCTCCAGCGTGTTCTGGGTCTTCCCCGGGGTCTCTTCCCAGTTGGACGTGCCTGGAAAACCTCCAGTGGGAGGCGTTCAGGAGGCATCCTAATTAGATGCCCGAACCACCTCAGCTGACTCCTTTCGACGTGAAGGATAATAAGCAATAGATTTATAGTATATGCCCGTCATAGGTAAAGAATCAAAACATAACATGTTCAAAAAATAATGTAAAATATTTGGACTCCATTCTTGCTAAACAAGAATGTGTGCATGTGTGGGTTTTTCTCTCTTTTCCATTCTCCCATCATCCATTGCGAGACAGGAAGCGGTCTCTGCTTTTGGCGCGGTCTTGATCGAGGGGTCGGCCATCTTGGAATCACATCAGTGTTTCAGCGGGTTTTACTATACTCTGAGACATTGCATGAGCACTCGACTCATTGATTGACCTCCTATCGCTGATTAAGGAAATACACTGGTTTTGCGTCCCCGTTTAACGACCGGAGTAGATACGTTTATCTTTATTGCTCACGGAGTGAAGAAGCAAACTTAGGATTGTTGAAAGAACCGTCATGGCGACAGCTACCCCAAGCCGTGAAGCTGGCCGGACGGCGGCCTCGACACCCCTCTCCCCGACCCGGATCTCTCGCCTACAAGAAAAACAAGATTTGCAGCACCTGAACGATAGGCTGGCCGTTTATATCGACCGCGTTCGGTCATTGGAACTGGAGAACGACCGGTTGATGTTCAAAGTGTCCGAGAAAGAGGAAGTGACTACTAGAGAGGTGAGTCGAACAAAAACGAGCCAACTATTCTTTCAGCCGCAGACCACCTGGCCACCAGTAACGTGAACCAGAGCTTCAGCGGATCTAGAGCTCGTTAAACAATACGTTCACGTGAATAAATGGATAGGAACTAACCCTTGTTCGTTATAGCTGCCAATTTCCCATTAAACATCTGAATTAACTAACAATTTCACCCGATATTGTGTTTACTAATTCATGTTAGTTTACCGGTGTTGTGTCAAATATTGTTTCATGGTAAGTTTGCGTGACATAACAATATCACGATTGCTATAATTTTACTTTGTCACAGTTAATAAAGCACGCGCGATCGCGTTCCCCAATCTGCGTTCAAACATAACGTAACCGGGAAGATTAAGGCGGGTGGTTCTGCGCGCCAATATATAATATGAGCGAGTTATGAGTTTTCATTTATTTTTGTGCAACTTCACTTCACTGCAAACGTGCACAATCAAACGTAACATGATGTAGAAGAATGCCCTGCTATAGCATGGTTAAGTGAAAGCGCCAGGCAGACTTCACATGACGTTTTAAAGTCATTCTGCTGTATTAATACTCTGAACGTGGCATAGAGAACCTTTAAAGTACCTGAACTGGTGGTGGAATATAAGTGTGTCGGTCTCAATGCCTCCTGTTCCCCTGAAGCCAACAGTACTGTTAGTTGGCCTCACCACTTCATCTATGTGAAGGTAAATAAAGGAATTGAGAATTGTAGGGTATAAGATGGTAAATGGACTTGTACTTATGTAGGCCTTTCTAGTCTGCTGACCACTCAAAGCACTGCACACTACACGTCATTCACCCATTCATACACTGAATGTGTGTGAATAGTGTGTTGTCATTTTATTTTTATTTAACCCAGCCAAGTCATCTAGTAATGACTGTGTGTCCCTCTCTTTAGGTGACCGGCCTGAAGGCTCTGTATGAGGCAGAGTTAGCTGATGCTCGACGGGTTCTGGATGAAACTGCTAGAGAGAGAGCCAGGCTCCAGATAGACCTGGGCAAGGCTCAGGCGGACCTGGAAGAAGCCACACGCAGGTGATATGATACAATACACAGGTCACCTTGTTTGAGATCAGATGAATCTGGAGACCAGATCAGTGTTTGGTGTCAGCGGGCAGTATGAAGCCATAACTGTGTTCTCCTCCTCTGTCCATGTGTTCCAGTGCTAAGAAGAAGGATGGGGATCTTGCTGCAGCGGTGTCCAGGGCCAGTGGTCTGGAGGGCCAGCTGCACAAGAGCGAAGCAGCTCTTTCTACAGCTCTAAGCCAGAATGCGACTCTGACTTCTGAGCTGGCTGATGTCAAGAGCCTGCTGGCTAAGGTGAGTACTGCAAGGTCATCTGTTTTAAAGGGTTAAATAGTCTGTGTGTGTTCTCTGAAACTTGTTTCCTACAGGACATTGTGAGACTGAAGGGGAGCACTTCCCCGCAAGAAAATGTTGTACATTTTCAAGTTAACTGCATCAATCTGTTGCATTTAGATACCTAAATTAAAACGCTAGGTCTGTGAAGAACTTTGTGCTCTAATATTGGTGAAATGTAGTACGTAGTACATTTAAGTTCAATGTTGAGGGTACTTGTACTTCAATTGAGTATTTCCATTTTCTGTAACTTTACTAGTTACTTTGCCGTTTCAGATTCTTAATAGAAAATATATAAATGTTGATCTGTTATTAAGTAGTACATAATTAAGTATATAAAGTAATTCAAATGTCCTACTCAGAGGACCAGAATCCACAGCGACGTTTAGTTCTTCTCAGCTTTTCTATCTCGGGTAGCTCATGATGGCTCAGTCAGTTCAATCTATGTTGAGTTTCCTTCTGCTAATATTTCTTATAGGCAGAGGACAGCCATGCTGTTGCCAAGCGCCAGCTGGAGGCGGAGACACTGATGCGTGTAGACTTGGAGAACCGCTGTCAGTCACTGAGTGAAGACCTGGAGTTCAGGAAGGGCATGTTTGAAGAGGTAAGCGTGTGTGGGCCAATGGCATGTAGATAACCCCAAAATCATTGTTTCCCTGATCTATTATTCACGTAGAAGTGAATGACATGCAACATTAGAAAACACTGGTCAAATGTATTGGTTCAACATATTAACTATATACTGTATGTTTCTGCTCTCCGGTCGTCTTCCTTGTGTTCAGGAGGTGCGTGAGTCTCGGCGTCGAAAGGAGCACAGGGTAGTGGAGGTGGACTCTGGAGTCAGACACGACTATGAGTTTAAACTGGCATCGGCTTTACAGGTATGTTGGGATGAATAGTGACCGCTTTCATGTCTGTGGGAGGGCGGGGCAATAGAAGCAATATATGGGTACATGTATAGTAATATCAGTGATGAAGACTGCAAATATGGGGTTGATATGAATATATGAAATCTTTATATACTGTTGGTCGCTTGACAACAGCGAGAGCCAATCACATCGCAGAGGCAAAGCAGGGAATGCCATGGGTTTCCCTCCACACATTTCAATGTGTCTGTCGTTAACCCTCTGAACCCCAAAACCAGGCGGCGGGATTGAAAATCATGTTTTCTTCAAATAATTGCAAAAACGACAAACTGACATTAGTGGCAGATTTTCAGCTTTCCGACGGTCCTTGAACATACCACGAACACTTCTGCCAGAAAAAGCATCAAAAACAAATCTTATAATTTGGATATCTAATGACAAACTTTTGATTCTACATGTCTCATTTAATATCTCGACCCACATAAACCATTTAAATGAACCACATCCTCTAAAAAAAGATAACACTCTGCGCTCCTCAGTGCACCTAGGAAACCATGATTGACTCGGCTGAGACCAACAGTCATGTGACAAAAATTCCGTGAAACTTCAACTGCAGGCCACTAAACACACAACTTGGAAACATGTTTTATAAATAGATTCCACTGTTTGCCAATTTTTGTAAAATAGATTATCAAAGAAATGCAACTGGCGTTTTTTTCCTTCTATTTTTAGGATTCATTGCATTCTATCTGTGTTATACTGCACTAACGACATATTTCAGTTCTCTCTACTTCTAGTCATGGTTGTGCTGTTTCCATAGAGGAGCAGGACTTTGATATTGTAGTGAAAATCAAAGCTACAAGTCCATTTCATCATGTTTTGCCCGAATGAGTGCAGTTAAAGACCATAACAGCCAGCAACTTGATGCTTAGCACTGCACTACAACAGAGACATGCACTTATGTCTCCATGAAGACAGAAACCAAGTCAAAGCTCAGTAATCTGTGTGAAGTAGAGAAACAGCGTTGTGACTGACAACATGGTTCTGTTATGTTACTGGAACCAGTGTGGTGGAAATATGCAATTTGCTGAATTTACAACATGACTATTAAGGAGGAGCCTTTGTTTGAGAATTGGTAACAATAATGTTTGTGTGATCCCATCAGGACCTGAGAAGGCAACATGACGAGCAAGTCTCTGTGTATAAGGGGGAACTGGAGCAAACCTTCCAGTCCAAGGTGAGCCACAAATCCTTCTCTTTTCCTTTTATCTCTGAAGCTTTGACTCACTAACAAAGTCCGTCTTGTTCTCACTCCAGCTGGATAATGCCAAGGTGTCCTCTGAGATCAATGACAAGGCAATGGGCTCGGCCAGGGAGGAGCTGCAGGAGTCCCGTATGAGAATAGAGAGCCTTGGGTATCAGCTCAGCGCCCTGCAGAAACAGGTACTGCTGTGGAACACAAACCTCACCATTTCAGCTTCAGCATTTCTATTGCTAATTGGCTTTATTAATGAATGGTCATGCTGATCGTCGCTTGTATGTTGTAAGGCGGTGGCCTCAGAGGATCGCATCAGAGAGCTGGAGGAGATTCTGTCAGCAGAGCGAGACAAGCACCGCCGTGCCATGGAAGGAAGGGAGCAAGAGATGAGCGAACTGAGAGACAGGATGAACGCTCAGCTCAGCGAATACCAGGAGCTGTTGGACGTGAAGCTCGCTCTGGATATGGAGATCAACGCATACAGGAAGCTGCTGGAGGGAGAGGAGCACAGGTACAACACACACACACACACACACACTATGTGAAACAGCTAAATGTTGTTGGAGATGACGGGGTGCTCCAGACGAGAAGTTTGACTGTGAGTTTCCCCCATGTTGTCGGTCATTGCTATTTAGATTACAATCATTACAACTCTCTGACTGATGGAATGTTGTGGGACATAATGTGCAATGCGCGCGCTGTTTAGTTTGTTTAATAACAGAACACGGTATAGACCTGTTCTATAGGAAAGGGACCCTTAAATCACTTCTGCTGTGATCTGGCGCTATAGAGAAAACAAAATGAACTCCACCTTCAGGGGGGGGGGGGGGCGCTGCCCCCCTAATACAATGGTAGGGGAAACACTGCATTATCATGACTTTATGCAAATTAGGTCCTAGATCAAACTAGGCCGTGTTGATCAAAAAGTTTGTCACCCAACCACCTGCCAGAGCAAGCCGGACCGTTTGGGGTCCTGTCTGGATTTGGTGTATCTCCACCATAATTCTCTAGTGACTGCTTGTCCCTTTTACAGACTGAAGCTGTCCCCCAGCCCGTCTGCTCGAGTCACTGTTTCCAGGCTAACAGGATCCTCCTCCTCTCGCTCCAAAAGAAAGAGGGTGGAGGCCGAGGCTATGGATGTGCCAGAGGGGCAGCTGCTGGTGTCTGAAGAAGCCACGGCTAGCGGAGCAGTCACCATATCACCCACTGATATGGACGGAAACGCAGTCACACTGACCAATGATAGCACTCAGGTGAGTAAGACTGGCCTCATAGTGACAGAAAGACATGAAGGTTGGATTTATTCAACTACGATGGCAGTAAATGCTGGTCATTACAGGAAGAGTACAAAGTCAGCCTAAGGCCTTCTGTCAAAAGGTCTTGTATACGTTTTCTTGTGTGTCGTAGGACCAGCCGCTGGGCAACTGGAGGTTGAAGAGACAGGTGGACGATGGGGACGAGGTCGTCTACAAGTTCTCCCCAAAGTTCGTCCTCAAAGCTGGGCAGTCTGTGACGGTGAGAAATATCAAGAAGACTAGTTGCTACTCTTTATCGGGGCCAAATCTTCACTTCATATCTCCATAACTATATGTATAACCACAGAGCATGTCTCTGTGTCTATATGAAATAACCACATGGTTCTGTAACACTTGTATGAATTAATCACTTGACAAATGAAATATAAGAGTATTTTCTCATTCAATAATGAACTTAAGTGCGTAATCAGGTTTTCTGATAGATTTGAGTTAGCATGTGCCTGTTATTGTACATTGAGACGTCTTAATTGTGTATCAAGGTATATCGATATATGATTTCATCACGATGCGATTCTATTAAAACCTGTTAACACTCCGACGGCCCGCCCACGGTCTTTTGGAGTGTTAACTGTACATCTGTGTCATGTACACAACTGATATGTATAGGTAGGCACTGATGCGACATCTCTTTGGAACGCTAAGATTCTTGTGATTCGATTGATGCAAACCATTTCAAGATACAATCACAACTGCAGGTACAATCAACGCCTCTGTCAGACCACCAACCAACAAACGAGCAGTTACAAAATCGAGGCAACTCACCGATGAAGCCTCATAGAAATCCACCCATCGATAATATTCCAACAAAAGCGGTCTTGTTACATTGCCAAAGGTCCAGACGATCCAATCCAGTAAAATATTTAGTCCAAAACATTATTACGTCCATAAATACCCATGGACTGCTGTTGCATCATTTCAAATTAGCTGGCAGATATGCCTAATTAGTTATGTATTTTCTGTCGTAACTTCAGTTGTAAACAGAGACGGTCTGTGTCTCAAAATGGCAGCTGCACTCTGACCTTTAGATTGACACCTCATTTGAGAGTCCGCGTTGCAGGAAAGTGCCTGCCCCTCTGCTTTTGTGTAAAGCTTGAGCAAATTGCAACCGATCGTTCTGATGACTGACGCTTCGTATAGCCAATGAAATTTCAAAAATTACGATATGCAGCTTCAGGGGTTAGATTTAGAGCCAGAACACGGAAGTCACTGCGTAACCGCGAGTCAGGTCCCTGTGACCGTGCAGTAAATACAAAGTGTGGTTTTTGAGAGTTTTGGAGACTTTAGGAAAGTAAATAATGGCGAAACAACTTATAGATTACTGTATTTAGACATAAATAAGCTTAAATTGATGCTGTGGTCCCATTGTGTTTTCCAGCGAATAAGTCCCAGCTATAGTCATCTGCAGGCATCGGTTTGCAAAGAAATATTCTCCTTCAGTGTGTTCAAACTGCTATTACTCAATGCCAGTAGCACTTGGAGTGATTCTGTTGGGGGAAAAACTTCAGAGTGTTACCTTTCAAAAGAGCCCAAGACCATGCATGTACTCCCAATGGTTCAAGAACAGCTTTCAGTTGACTCCGGGTATGCCTTGGATAGGCCTTTTAGGCTCACTTTACTGGAGTGGTAACAGTTAAAAGAAAACAAATTATGGCCCAGCGCTACTTTGTATACAGTGTATAATATAATAAATGTATAATTTGTATCCAGGCTTAAAGGTTCGGTTCAGTGAATGCTGTAGATGTTACTGTTCACACCTCTGTCTCAGGGACCTGCTGCTGAGGAGCTGTGGTTGAGATCCCTCCGTGGTATAAAGCAGCTGATTGATGTTTAGTATCGGCTGATGTTATTTCTGTGTCAGCGTGTTTGAGTGGCGTCTGCAGTCTTTGAACATGTGATGTATTAACCTGCACTGTGTGTGTGTACAGGTGTGGTCTGCTGATGCTGGCGTGGCCCACAGTCCACCATCTGACCTGCTGTGGAAGAGCCAGACCTCCTGGGGCACAGGAAATGACATCGTCACCACTTTGGTCAACGCTGATGGCGAGGTAAAGACTTCAGTGTTGATTTGGTGTGCGTGTTGAACGTGGTTCCCGGCTCTGCAGCGCTGCACTGGGCTGTGTGTTTTGAGTCATGAGTCTGACTGTCCTGCAGGAGGTGGCCACGAGGAGCGTATCCAAGACTGAGGTGGAGGTCGAGAATGGAGAGGAAGAGGAGGAAGAGGCAGAAACGGTGAGTTTCATCGAACGGTGTTTTTATTATTTTGTCCACACCATTTATATCAGAGAGGCCAGTTCCATGTTTGCCGAAAGTTAGTCATGCAACAGTGGTTGATATCTTGCTGTCAGGTGTTTTATCACAGTGAGCTCTAATTAGTTCCTCTTGCTGTATATGCTGGTGTTGACTCCCACCTCTACTGAACCGTGACCAGGGCTCTGTGTTAGTCCCTTCATAAACAAACGCTATATTATGTTAATCATGTGACCGTTCCTGATAATCGTATGCCTTTGAAAAGAGGCGGAGCCCAGAGGAAGAGCATGACAGCGTGTTGGCTGATGTTCAGCTGGATGCTTTGTGTCCATGTATTAGTCCAGCTCTCCTGCGACACATTGAGCACCGTGATGTTAGCACAGGCTGCTCGTGAATGCTACGTGTCACAGTGACAAATGCCAGTTCAGCCGGTTTGCATCAAATCAAGTCGGTACCCCAGACCGTAAAATACATATATATATGTATATATATATATAATATATGGCTGATAAAATGTTTCTCGTGATAATCTTCAGTGTCTGGTCTCTCCACAGGGAAAGGTGTCCTCCAGAGAGTGTGTCATCATGTGAAGCCTTCCTCTTCCGTTGGCTTTCACTTCCCCATTCTATATTGTTTTCGATATGATCTTGTCCCTTCCCTCATCATTATGTTTTTTTTACTGTTCAAGACAATATTAGAATTTTTGGACTAATGGACTCTTTTTACTGCCCTTTGTATTTCTGGACCTGCTTTTATGACACTGATCAGACCCCCCCTCCCTCCTCCTCCTCTCATGTCGGTGGTTCACTAGCCTAGAACACATTGTGTAACTGTTGCTCAGGAATCAACTGAAAGCACCATAAATATATGATGAGCTCTACTGTAGTGTTAAACCGTGGGCAGGTCTTAATTACATTTTGGAGAACGCTTTTTTTCCTCCATAATCAAAGCTTTTAAGTGTTTCCCATCTATAAAAGATGTTTGTGTGGTTAGATAGATTTCCTCTGAATTCTTTATTTATGTCTTTTGTAGAGAAGCCAGGTCAAGTCAATTTTGTATCATGGAGCCCAATATCTGAAATCACAAATGTTGCTCTCATCATAGCTGAAGTCCAAACCTTTGACACGCCTGGTCCTTACATGAGCATCCCTCTGCTGCAAAGACAGCCGGGACATGTGACGGTCCGGCCGATGGCTCGCTTTAGGTATCTGAACAACACCATGGAATGAAACGCTTTAGTGCCCTCTGACATCTGAGGAGTGGTCACCAGCTTCAGTGGCTGACGTGTAACTGTTCTTCAGTGAATCACTGATGTCAGTGCTCTCTCACTGACCTGTGAAACAACAAGCGCCACCTTTTCTGCTCACGCTGTCATGTAACGAGTGGTGAAGTGTACGGAAGCACAGCCTCGGCTAACTGGGACAAGCAAAGTGATAGGAGCCTCTCCTGTATGAGAGGTTGTGATAGTAGGTAGGTCCACAGCCATGGAACTAGTTTAACTCCTGCTTGTGTGTCCATGTGGCTCTGTTGTAATACGAGTCTGACCCTGATGGGACGGTACGGAGCAGCGTGACTGCTGTGAGTCTGAGGTATTCTGTTTAGAGAAGCCTTGTGACCGGCTGAACATTGGACTCACAAGCTGGAGAGGTGTCCTGAGTTACATCACGCACAGTGTTGCTCTCAGCCTTGTGTGCCATCATGGAGAAACTCCATATTTTCTTGTGTCTGTATGCCGTGCTTTACATCGCTAGTTATTTTTCTATAGAGTACTCTTCTATGTAATCACTTTGTTACCACCATATACTTCATTTCTTATTTGAGTGTTTTGGGATTTCTGTGATGATTATGGTTGGGTGTATATTACCTTAAAGATATTTCAGGAGCCTGAACACTACTGCGGTGTTGTGTGTCCTCGGCCTCAGACGGGCTTCTTGTCCAGCTGACCAGCTCTGAAGTGTGCCAGTGTTCGACTAACTGACTCTGAAGTTAATACTGTAAGGCTCTGACATGTGGAATGGTAATTCAGTCCCTCCAGGAATTCTCATGATTGTAGCACAAGAATGAATGTGTATTGAGCGGATCTCTGCAGTATATCACCTTGTCATGAACTCTGGTCACACTTTTCCAATCACTGTAAGTTCCATTGAGATGTCAAATAATGAAGCTTCAGTCTCAACAAGAACAACTTCCTTTGATCTACATGTTGCATATTCGTATGCATGACCATCCTTAAACAATAGCACAGTTTGCAGCTGAGGTCCAATTTTTTAAACTCGAATCAGAAAATAAATAAATGTCTGTATTCAGGAGTATTTTTGGAAAAGCTTCTGAGGCAGTAAGCTGTCCCTGGAGGGGCTGTCCCATGACTCTGTGACCAGCTGTGCTACACTATAGATGTGACTTTGTGATGTTTCTTTTGACAACATTTAACCAGGGGGCGGCAGCATGCCAACTGTGAGTTTTCATTCATGATTAACTGTTGAACTACTTTTTGTACACACAATAAAATGAATGTTTTACATATACACATACCTGCAAACTTGTCACCGTTTTTTGGGGGGGGGGGGGGGGGGCCGCGTTCAAACACAGTGAACCCAGGGGTGGGGGG